GTATATGTACTGTAGGCACTCACAGCACCTTATTTAATAAAACCCAATGAAGTAGGAACTATTCCCACTTCCCCCATGAAAAAAACTGAGGTTCAGAGATTTTAGGCAACTTGCTAGTTAGTGGCAGAGCCAAAATCCAAACCCAGACCTTCCAGCTCCAAAGCCCAAGGTCTAACATTGACACTTTGCCTCAAACAACTCTCTCTTTCTAGAGAGGGAGCAAAATTATTACAGGTGTATTAGTTAGAAACAACAGAATAGACGTTTGCTACTGGAGCTAATCAGTCCCCAAATGCAAAAAGTTTCCTTCTGTTCCACAGAGCTCACCTCCAATAGCAGCTGTCCTGCTGTTGGCATCTGGCAGCTCTGCCATCTCAACACAGAGCTCCATGCTCGCCATCAACAGAGAAGGACAATTACAGGCCACTAAACGGGAATGATGATGCCTCAACCTGGAGGTGACACCTGTCACTCTTCCCATGTTCCCTATGGTCCCACCTAAAGGCAGGGGTTTGGGAACGTTAGTCTAGAAGAAAGCCAGAAAGGAGAAAAGAACTAGAGGCAACCCTTGACCACAAGAGGGTCTCAAGCTACTGTAAACCACACATCAGCAGTTCCCAAATGTGGTGGAGAGAAGGCTCACCTGTTGAAAATGCAGATTCCCGGGGCTCCACTCCATAGGTTGATCCAGGTAAGTCTGAACTGAGCCCCAGGTAATCCAGGTGCAGGTGGTCAGCAGACTGCCCTTCAGGAAGCCTTGCTCTGGATAGATGCAAAACACTCAGAGGTCTATAAACACAATCATCGGAAACTGAGTGCCCTCTGGAGAGCTCTCCTGAGGTGCCAACCACCCAAGGCCCAGGTGGGAGAATGCGGAAAGCAAAGAAGACAGACATGCAGACTCTAGACGTGTAACCTGCACGGAAGGCGGAATAAACCGTGGGCTCCCGGAGAGCACAGAGGGGCCCAGCGGCGGCGGCAGAGCTGTGCACCGTCACTCCCAGAAGGATACAGGGCCTAGGTGCCCAAGGGAACTGCCGTTTCCCCCCACTGGGCATGTATCTGATCACGGTGCTTTTTTGTTTCAAACTTCCCAGGGCTCCCCAGTGAGTGCCTACAAGGGAACGTCCACGCTTCCTGACAGGGCACTGAGACCATCCACGTTCTTGTCCCAGGATCACTTCCTGCCCCTCTTACCACCCACATGTTGTGCTAAAGCCACACGTGGTGACCTGATCCCACCCAAAATGTGCCTCCAGGCTTCTGCTCCAGGACACTCTCTGCAGGAATGTCCTTGGGCCCAGGCGCTCTGCACCTACCATGCACTGCTCAAGACTCAGGTGAGAGAGGTCAGCTCTAAGCAACCTTCCCTGGCAACTGTCTCTCCTTGTCATTCCTCCTAGGACTAATTAATTCCTCCAAGTAAAACTGAGCACTCTGCTCCAACTACCATAACCATCCCCCACCTAGAGTCTTAAACTGGACTCTTAGGGGTATGAAGAAAGATCTGTTAGCTACTGCCGATATTCCAAAAATCCTCTTGACAACCAAGGCCCTGGAGCAAGTCACCTGAACCGGCTAAAGTGCCAAGTTTCCTTGTGTCTGTTTGGAATTACACATACTAAAGTTTACTAATGATAGAGAAAGAAAATTACTACAACTGCAGGCACCTAGAAGAGGCCAAATATGCATCTGCCGACTGGATGGGGAGGCAGGGGGATAACAGATAGTGGTGCCTGGTGTGCTTGCTCTGCCAGGCTTCGAGCTCCTTGGAGGCGCCCGGCCTTCAGTCTCCAACCATCCCCAGCACCCGCACAGGCCTCCTGCATAGGAAGAGCTCAAAGAAGGATGCTGGGTGGATCTGAGGTGAGGCAAACACTGTTCCCTGAGCAGCCTGGCATCCTAAGCAGACCCCCAGCTCCTGGAAGGACATGCCAGACAGGGAGCCTCCGGGAACCACAGGGAGGGAGAGAGAGAAGGAGGGAGGGATGGAGGCACAGAGGGAGAGATTGAAGACCCCAGGTCCTGCCTAGAGGCCCCTTTGCTCTTACTTAGGGACTGCGGGAAAGGCAGAGAGAAGGCGCACCCACGGGCTCCTTCCGTCCTGCTGCCACCCAAGACGCCAGCAGGGGTTCTCTGAGTGTTTCTGCACCTGCTAAAGCCAGCACTGGACCTCTAGGCCCACAAGCCTCCCAGCACTAAATTCAGCCTCAAAGCTACACATCATAATTTGATTTATCCTAAACACTGATTCCTCAAACCAATTTATTTCCTTTTAGGTTAAACTTTATGTGCCAGCCCTAATTTTCATTACTCGTTACTAATTTTCTTCTCCGTGGTTTGAGCTTCTCAGCCAGGACCAAGTACTTCTCGGGTGCTCTATGGAGAGTGCCCCATGGAAAGCCTCCTCTTGGAATCCTGAATCATCAAACCTCAGCACTAAGCCTCATCTACAGACAGAGAACCAGTTCCCTAAGAGAACAAGGGAAAGCAGATATCCTTACTACCTATGGATCCAAAAACGCAATGCATTAGCACTAACCTCAAATCTCTGGGAGCACGTGGGCACTGGGTGGAGGGAGTCTACTCTTATGCAGAGCAAATCTGATCATCCACAGATGATGTTCCCCCAGAGGCACAAGTTTGCAAAGACGTAAGGTACCCGCCCCCCCAAAGATTATTCTCTTATCCTGAGAAATAAAGTAGCTATACCAAGCAGAACCAGATAGCATCAGCTAAGTTGGACCCCACAGCAGAGCAACTGGATTCGGCTTGCCCAGAGGGACTTTCTAAGCCTACTGGAGTGAAGCTCTGCTACTGAGACCACCACCTTCATAAGCAGAGGGGAGTTCAAGCCACTGAAGCTTGCCATCAGACCAGCGCCGGCAAAAGGAAGAATAAAACTCCCCCCGAAAGTCAGCCTCTGTCATCTCGCCAGAAGCTTATTTGAGAAAACAAAGGGTCATCTGTATCTGTGTGCTCCAAACCGGTTCTTCCGGAAGTCGTTATCTGCCTGATGATAACAGCATCTGAGCTTCCAAGGTTCCCAGGCAGTCTTGCACAGATACCAAAGCTGGTCTTTGCAGGTAAAAGAGCCACAGCTGGACTCACTGTTAATATTTCCAATTTGATATGAAACCAGGGGATCATCCAAAAATGCCATCAGTGCCCAAGAGTATCCCTTTGGGTGACAGCAGATCCCCCAGTAAGTAATTCATAAAAAGGGGAAGTTTGGAGAAAAGAATATAAACTGCCTGGTTTTTACAGAACATCCTTAGAGGAAGCAAGAAGCACATAAAATGACAATTATCAAAAATTCCCAAATCCACTGCATAGACCATTCATTATATATTTGTAAACATCTCGTAAATGTCTGGGGGGATGTTTGAAGGGATACCTGAAAATAATACAAATATTTACATATTATTGGACCCTTTTTTTAATCTGACAACTCCCAGCGGCAATCAAAAGAGCCTGCCTCACTTTAATTCAGTGTTACTCACACAAACATTCACCCAACGAATGGTAAATTCTACTGTGCACTGAACACTATTTTATCATTTCTATCACACAATAATTTAATGGGGCTTAGCCTATCTGCCAATTGGAAATTGTCCCCAACTGACCACAAGGCAAGTACTAGTTTTAATGTATACTCCAAAGATGGAAAAATAGATGAAGAGGAGGAAAAAGTGTTTTCTGTTTTCCCAAGTGCATCAGGACACACGCGAAGTTCTCCTTCCTTCTTCCCACTGAGTAACACTAGTGTTTAGTCAGAAGCTAGGAGAGGGGTCTTTTCTGCATCTGGGGGAGCTCACGGCTTGTTCTGGCAGTGTGAATAAACACTCTAGATGAATTTCGCCCCTCGTAAAGAAAAACATGCAAGAAAGGGCATTTCTTTGTATGTGTATACCCTGGGCTGCACGGAATAGAAGGCATCTCACAGCCTCCCACCTGCCACCAATGACTCCGTATTCGGGGCAGAAACCCAGAGAGGGGCCTCCTGTTTGGAATAGCTCAGTGGGCTTTAAAAAAAAAATCAAATCCAGAAAGTTCATGCAACTTAAATATGCAAAATGTGTCTGAAAACAGCCATGGACACAGGAGGACAGAGAACCTGACCCCCTAATGGAGGGACAAGTGTAGATGCGGGTGCCTAGGTGACAGGAGATGACAGGAGGCTGTGAAGTGGGTCTGAGCTGGTGTTCTGGGCTTGGATCTGAAAGGCAGCGACACGACAGGGGCCGGGAGGCGGGCGGCGGGTCCCCGGGGCGCACTGGGGCTCAGACGTCTCTGAGAGAACCTGCGCCAGCGCCCCCTCCGAGACCGCTCTTTCCGGGCACCCGCTGCTCAGGGCCCCACCGGGCGTTCCGCTGCTGCCCTAAGCGGATACGGACTCGGCACAGAGCTCCGGGCGTATGAAGCCCGCACCCCTGGGCTGCGGCCCCGGACTTCCGAGCCTCCGCAGCAACAGTTTTCCAGCGGGAGAACTACCGCAAACGCCTCCAGGGAAAACGCTCACCCGGACCCGCGGCGCCAAAGCCAGGGACGCGCACGCGGCGGGCAATGAGCGATGCGGCTAGGAGCGAAGGCTGCAAACGTCGGGCTCGGAAGATCACACACAAGGAGAAACTTCCCGAGGACGCCAACGAGGGTCGCGTTTGCGTCCAGGGAAGCAGCCAGAATCCCCCAGCAGGTGGTGCGGAGCCGGTGAAAGGCGCAGGCGAGGGGACCCGGGCGGCGGCCGGAGCCGCTTCCCGGCGCGATGCGGGTGACGAGAACAGGTCTCAGCCTCGCGCACGCGGGTCCCTTCACGCCCAGAGTCCCAGGAGGGAGACCGGGAGGGTCTCTCTCTTGGTCCCCTAGGACACATCCCTAGCGCGGAGAGGGGCCCTCGAATCCTGGCCCCGGCGGGACGCAAACAAACTTGGGGCGCCGAGACGCTCGGTCCGTGGATCCCCGAGTCCGGGCGTCCCCGCCCGCGGCGCGCCACTACTTACACGAAGACCCCGAAAAGCAGGGCTCGGACCCCGATCTCGATGGCCAGTTCTCGCATGGTGCGGCCGGAGCAGCTCCCGCGGCGGCTGCGGCTGGTGCTATCCGCGGCTCCCCCGCAGCTCGGCCGGCGCCGGCTCTCCAGACCCCGGGCGCCGAGAGAGGCGCGCTCCAGGCCGCGGGCGGGGGCGGGGGCGGGGGGCGGGCGCCCGGAGGGGCGGGCGGCGGGGAGGGCTCAGCCCAAACCTCCTGCCTGAGGCTCCGGGGCTCAGGGACGACGCGCTGGCCGCTCCCGACGCTCCCGGCCCCGAGCGGAGGACGCCTCGGGGACTCCCCGCTCCCCTGCGCCGGGCACCGCCTCCGCGTCCTGAGCCCTCGCCGTGCGCTCGCGGCCAGGCGAGGGGAAGCCCGGGGAAGCCCGGCCGCCGCCGCCGCCGCCTCCCCTGCGCGCTCCCCGCCAGTGGGCGGCCCCTGGGCTCGGCGCCCGGGCAGCGCGCTCCCTGGGCTCTGCCTGCGGCCCCTCTGCGTCTCCTCGCTCGGCCTCCGACTCTCGCTCTCGGGTCTCTCGCTCCCCGGCACACGCACGCACGTGGGCAGGTAGTAGGAGAGCGCTTTGGGAATTTTCTCCGGCTCCAGACAGCCCTGGCACTCACTGTTCGTGCCCGCCGGCGCTCCCTCCCATCCGTTTTCTGCCCTTCCTACATCTTTCTAACCTGGAATCATTTCTTTTTTTCTAGGAAGTTCCCCGGAGATTACTCGCAGGCTTCGCTTTGCCCTCCGGAAGAGCCAGCCAGACTCCAGGGTCCTGGCACAGACTGAGCAAAGGCAAGCCTGACTCCTCACCATGCCGCCAGCGCCAGGCCAGGGGATCCCTCCCGCGCAGCCCCCAGCAGCTTTGGACCGCGCTGTGAAATGTGAAAAAAGAGACTGGCACAGTCCCTACCCCAGCCGTCAGTGTCGCTCATCGCTGACACAGCACTGTCATCAGCACCTGAGGCAGCAGGGGCTGCAGGGAGGACCAGAAGCCTCATCCTCAGGGTTCAGAGTCAAAGGCCAGATCCTCACTGGTGACCTGAGGGTTAGGGCCTCAAGCCAGAGCCCAGCGAGGGTTAGGCCTTGCTTTCCCATCACCTGTCAGGACTGTGTATATTTCTCAGAATTTGCACTTGTCTTTATTAATTTAAACCAAATGGACATTCAAGATGCAAAACTCATATTAAGCATAACCATTAGGTTGTCTCTGGGGAGCCCAGATCTCTTCTGGGTTTTGTGAGCTGGGAAAATGGATTCGAATGTGGTTCCTGGGAATGAGGACCCATAGCTCAGCCTCGGACAAGAGGGAGAGTAGGAAGAAAGAAGACCTTAGGAGGAGGCCTTAGGCATCAGCGAAGGGCAAAGAGACCCTACCTCCAAAGGGACATGTGATGGATCCAAGATTCCTGAGCCAAGACATCTCGGGATCTAGGAAAGAGATGCAGACAGATGAGGAACAATCCTGGCTCTGTGTGGAAGGGACTCCATCCCGGAAGCCCCAGAGGCAGGAACTGTATCTAGTTAGCTTGTCGCTGTATACACAATGCCTGGCACACTGTGCTTGGTAGTATTCGGTGAATGAATGAATGAATGAATGAATGGACTATATAAATCAGTCACGTGGGGTGTCAGATGTGGATAGAGTAGGAAGGACTTGGAGGAAGGAGGTGTGGGTCTGTCTCCTCTGTGCCTTGGGCCCTACAACTACCCTGGGCACAACTGGACTGGGTTGTGGTATAGGAGAGCCCATAGTAACTCAGTGAACTCTAATGACCCAGATCCGAGACTGTCAGGTGGCCAGATTCCAGATTACTAACAAGAGCCCATGGTATTAACACATCACTTACCTAAGCATCAACTGAGCACAGCCTCTGCAAAGCCATGTGTTCGGTGTTAGGATTCATAATCCAAATCTGCCCTCACGGAGATAGGCAGACAAGAAACCATGAAGAAACATTAAGGAACTATGCAAAGCAGTACCAATCAGTCCCAAAGGAGTGCTTCAGAAAACTGGATCACTCAGAGATCAGGGTTGGAGTCATTTCTTTGGTCTAGGGTGGCCAGAGCACAAAGCCTTGTCAAGGAGAGTTGGTTCTTAAAAAGCAAAGGAAATTCCAAGTGAGGGCCAAAGCACGAGTAAGTGAAGGGGGCAGAAGGTGGAAGGGGTTTGGAGGGCAGAGTGGATTGACCTCGTGGCAGAGCTGAAGGGTGGACCAAGGTTAAATTCATGGTGGAGACCTAATTGTGTTGGTCCTGCCCACCAGGAACTGTTATCAAGATCACAGAATTAGGGACTTCCCTGGTGGTGCAGTGGTTGGGAATCCACCTGCCAATGCAGGGGACACGGGTTCGAGCCCTGGTCTGGGAGGATCCCACATGCTGCGGAGCAACTAAGCCCGTGTGCCACGGCTGCTAAGCCTGCACTCTACAGCCCACGAGCCACAACTACTGAGACCACATGCCACAATTACTGAAGCCCGTGCACCTAGGGCCCGTGCTCCGCAACAAGAGAAGCCACCACAATGAGAGGTCGGCGCACTGCAGCGAAGAGTAGCCCCTGCTCGACGCAACTAGAGAAAGCCGCGTGCAGCAACGAAGACCCAACACAACCAAAAGTAAATAAATAAAATTGATTCTTTAAAAAAAAAAAAGATCACAGAATTAGAATCTTTGTGCAACACTTTCTTGATCCTTTCTTGCTTGTATTAGAGATGCCTAGGGAAGGAGTTTGAAAGGGCATGTGACCTCACTGCTGCCATCATGAAGAAGTGACTTTGAAACACAGATCTAAAGAGCTGCCCAGTTCAACTCCCCATCTGATGCCTGAACCGATTCTGTGCTCTCCCCACAGCGTGGTCATCCTGTGCGTATTGGAAATCCTGCCACTGATAAAGAATTCACCCTTGAGGGAGCTTGTACCCTCTTCAGACAGCTCTGTTGAAATCTCTTCCTTAAAGGGAATCACAACAAAATGCCGTCCTGTAACTTATATCAATGCATTAGTCCTGCTCCGCCTGCTCCCGCCCCCTGCCTGCTAGCTGCACAGAACTGATACCGTCAGAACTTCTGGGGCGCCAAGGAACAGATGGCTCAACCCAAATTCATTAAAAACAAAAAGAAGAAGAAGAATTTGAAAGTTCAGGGGAAGATCAGGCTTCAGGCACAGCTGGATTCAGGATCTAAGCAATGTCACCAGGACTCGATTCTTTCTACCTCTGCTCTGTCTGCACTGTACTGGCTTCAGTCTTGGGTTCCTGGTAGTTACAAGATGATTGCCAGAAATCCAGCTTTCCATGCTCTCAGGATCAAATTTAACGGGAAAGACCTCTATCTTGACGCCAGCAGTCCCAACAAAAGTGTCATTGAATGTCACTGGCACTGCCCGGCCCTGAAGCGATCACCATGGTCTGGGTAGGGTATCATGACGGCTTGATTGTCTCAGGCCTGGGTCACATGCTTCACCCCTAAGCTGGGAGTGGAACCTTCACCCAGTGCCCCTGAGCTGAGAATGGGAGAAAGTGGACCCACAAATACAGGGCTGATGCTTTGGAGGAGGGAAAATGTTTGAGGTAGAGCAAACTGACATAGGCCAGGATACCCGCTTCCATGCCACAACCGTGCAGATTGCAGAAAACTAGCGTGCTTCCCTGAGTTCTTGTCCTGTCCCTCAGTCTTTAACCAGCAGATGAGTTATCCACCATAAGGCTGCCCTGCCTTTGCTTTGTCATGCAGACTTACAGAACTGCCTTTAAACAAAGTTTCAATGTCACCCAGAGGCTCCTCTTCAGCTGCCCGGTCTCTTCCATCTCCACGCCTTTTGGCAACTCTGTCATCTGCTCAAATAATCCCCTTTCTTGTTTACCAAGGTCAGCTGTCAAGGGAAAGCTCTAGCCTTGTTCATTACATAAACCTGGATCAGGATATTCCATGGTGTGTCTGTCTGTCTATCTCTCTCTCAGAGAATTTATTATTTAAGCCAGGTCCCTCTTGAAGGGCAGTCCCCATGAAAGGGACTAAAGATGCCATCCTCGGTGTCCCAAATCCCACAAAGCGGGAGGCCACTCCCATGGGTGTGGGGTGGCCAGCTCCAGCAGCTGTCTAGCTGTGAACATGTGCCAGAGAGTAGAGACCTTCAAAGTGCCATGGTGCTGCAGCAGCACATGCATGAGTGGACAAACGAGTGAAGTAAAAGCAGGTTACATAAAGCAATCCAGCCAGGTGCCCGGCTTGGCAGCCCCTGCTGGGTCTTCAGAAGACTCCCATGGAACGTGATGAGTTCTCTAGAGAAGGAAGCATGGGTCAGAGGCTCTAGCAGTCTCAGAAACGTTCTATCATAAGAAATAAACACGCCAATCCCTTACCAAGATAAAGTGAGCACCATAACTGTAAAATGTGAGATTGATCTTTGAAAAATCACTTCAGAATGCAGACACTCGAATGGGTGCAGCTTCCCTCAATGCCTCTGTGGCTGCACACATTTTCAAAGTGCCACTTGGGGAAAATCTCTCATATTTCATATTGAGCTTATGGGCATGCCAAGAAAATCACCCTCATCCCTTCGTAGTCATGCCTCTGCTGTTGGATTTTTTTCTTTAAATTCCCAAATGGTATTGTCCAGTATGATGATCCCATATTGATCAGATTTTTGGCTATTTCTAAAAACCAAAGCCACTTTCAGAAAACACAAATTTGTAACCATTTCTTACAATGTCATTTCCAAAAGTTATACTTTGTATCTCAATGATACCCACCTAGCTGCCCTAAGAGTGTGGCCTGGAAACAGGTAGCCAGCATGGTGATCCTTCCCTATGGAGACCCACACATCCAGGCTTTCCACTGTGGTTGCCTAGTATGAACTTGCTGATGTGCCTAAAACACCAGGGATCAAAGGAGGAATTTCAGAAGAGGTCATCAAGTTCAACTTGGTTCATGAATATCTTCCACAAGGGTCTCAATAAATATCTGTCTGCTTGAACACCTTAAGGGATGAGGAACTCACTCGCTGCTCATTCCATCTCTGGAGAGACCTATTGTCATTGACGTTTGAGTAGAAACAGACTTGACTGTAGCCTACATCCATGGCTCCAAATTGTGCTTTGGGGACCACACAGAATATATTCAATGCCTATTCTTCTATGTTATGGCTCTTTAATTATTCTACAACTGGAAAGGAAGAGAGATAGAGATAAGAATGGAGGGAGAGACAGAGAGGAAGAGAGAGAGTAGGTCTTCTCTTTTCCAAGTTAAATATTCTCAGTTCTTTCACCTCCTGGTAGTAATATTTATAAGACCTCTGAGGATATAGCACTGCAGACCCAACACTGAAGTGCATTAAGCCAAATTCCACATAATAAAAGGTAATGTTCCTACTTCCTGGA